GTAGTTGTCTGTAGAACGCCTCCTTCTTCTCTTGTTCTGAGACGTTTGTAGGCGCATAGCATTGAATGACTGTAACTTTCCTTCCTTTTGAGTTGAACCTGGCTGTCATTATCCTGGAGGAGATTGGTTCCCACTGCATGAGAGCTTTGGTTGCTGTTGGTGACATCATGATGGCCACTCCCTCGGTGTGCTCATGGTTGTCCTCTAGGTGGCCGGAATAGATTACTGTCTCTCCAGTAGGTAGTTGGCACCTTCCAGTTCCGTTCCATCTGCTCTCGCAGATTCCCAACACTTCTATTCTGTACCTTCTCATTTCAGCGGCTATCTGGGCAGCCTTTCCAGTTTCGTACATTGTACGAACATTCCAGGTACCCATCCTTACTTTTGCTTTCATCGAAAGAAGGCACATCGGCTGACTGGCTTCCCGAAGGCTTTCACCAGCCTGCGTCATTTCACTTCCCCGATTCCAGCGAAAAGTAAGGCTATTGCTTATGTTTTTAGAATTTTTAATATATTTATTCGTTGAAGTTTCTGTAGCGATTTGGTTGTTTTACAGGGGTGGAGTTGCTAGCACCACGCCCCAACCCTCCCTCTTTACCCGGGCTTGGGACCGGCTAGAAAACTAGTAAGCTAGTAGCCTAGCAAGCTAGTATTTGGCGAGGTTACTTCTCCCATAGACCCCCCAATTCTCTTAGCCGAATAGACAAATTAGCACTTCCTTCTGTTCTAAGCTTTATATCTTACGAACGAATAGAAGTTAGAATTCATGGTTCATCGAATTCCAGCCTAGGGGCCGAACGGTCAAAGAGTTGACCTAGTATTCAGCTATTCTTGCCTTCAATCTTCCTTAGTCTGTGGTCCTGGATATGCACCTCTGAAGAGTTGTAAAGTAAGGCATGAAACAGATGTCATTATAATTATTATTAACCCCCTGAGTTCCCAGTTGAACGTAGGGTCCACTTCAACATCACATCTACACTTTGTCCTGTCTTCTGCCATCCTCTTCAGATAACTGCCTCCACGTTTGCCCAGAATCTCTCATCTCCTCCACCAACTCACATGATCTCCTCCACGCAGCCATCACACCAACGACCTACGCGTCGCTTCCTATTCTGATTCCACTCGAGCGATGGCTTGACTGCCGCTCGACGTCATTCGATGGCCTCCTCAAGGTATGCCCGATCCATCTCGATTTTTTGCTACACATTGTTGAGCGATTGGCTCTCGCCTGTTGGTTTGTAGCTATTGACAGTTACTTGTTACTAATTCTCTCTAGTTGGCCGACCGGCCACCCCTGATCTTCAGTATGGACCCACCTAGCAAATTAAGCAGATAATGATAAAGGTCTGTAGTAACTTGTTGGAAATGCTTTTCTTGACACGCAGTTAATGTTTCTATCCCGTATAGAAGCACTAACTGACTGGCTTCATTCACATGTGTGTTGAGAATGCAAATCTTGTTGTTTATGGTGGCTGAGTGGGAACAGAAGATTTCCAAATTGGTATCAGGTTGATTAAGGCCAATCTGACCTTTCTGATTCTGGCTGGCTGGCTGACTGGCTGGCTGACTGGCTGGCTGGTTGGCTTCGACAACATCCGTGCTGTACGACTGTCTGCCTGTGATTGAGATCGGGTTTACTGGCTGGATAAGTGAAAAAAGGAGTAACATCTGTCAAATATCTCCCTCGTCTAGTTAATTAGCTCATTAGTTTTTTAGCCGTTTCAAAAACCGAGTAAAGAGGATGGGTTGGGTGTGCAGCTAGTGAACCTACCCCACAAAACTAATCAGACTGCTTTTAAAATTTCAAATCACGATAAAAGTACTAAAAAAAAACTGTACCACGTGCTTCTTTACTAAATAATAGTTCTCTGATTGACATCAGTTCAACATCTATGCTGAAATAAATCTTAACGGAAGACTCTAAAAGATCTGGAGTTCCAGGATGATTTATTTCTAATGTGACACAAACTCAAACGTGGTCAACAGACTAAAATGAACAAGTTTGCAGAATAGTCAGGGGTGGAGAAGGCAGAATTTCAAGTGGGTATAGAGAAGACAGACTGATAATGGAGATATCTTACTTACAACAACGAGCACCGATCAATATCACTTGTCTACGCAGCATCGTCTGAGCTACAGGTGACGCCGATGAGAATTAAAAAGAAGAGAACACGAAGTTCAGCAAAGATGGTGATCTTTTCGGTGATTTCATTTTCAAAAGCAGCTGTACAATCGCATTGAAATACATAATTTTACATGGATACAATTCTTGTTCTACGACGGCGAATAGAAGGTGATAATTATTCTCAACTAGATATGATTTTTACGAGAAGCTTAGAAACAAAATTACACAGGATTAGAACGGATATCAAGTGTGCAAAAATGAGCATGGAAACAAACTTAAAATAACTGGTTTTCTAACTGAAAAAATGGGGTGGATCGAATGAAGACTGAGGGAGTAAGAATCACACGCACATAGTGAAAGAAAAAAGAGAACGGAAGAAGAAAATAAAAGAACAAAAACGGAAGCTATGGGAACATACCGAATTAGGTAAATGGTAGTTGTAGAGGTAAGAGTAATTGCTTTTGAACATGCATGTTTTGAGGGGTTCTGTAGTTCAAAGAAGTCGGAAATGCTACTGCTTTTGGTAGGTTTCTGTTGACTTTGTAAATTACTTTGAAAGAATCAGTTGAGATGTTGTGGGAGGTGTTGATCAGATGTTCAATAATGGCACTTCTGATTGAATCGGTGTCTCCTCCTTTCAGCCACGCTGGGTAATGTTCGCTAACACGTTTTGAAAGGGCACGCATACAATGACGTATGAACCTTGCTCCGCACGAGCAGGTGACCTGGTATATGCACAGTGAATTGGTCATATGTGAGAGTTTGTCCTTCGCGTTGTTTCGAAGCATTAGACGGCTAGAGAATGTCACTATTAGTGTTGCTGCAGGGAAGGTCTTCTTTAAAGAGCTGGATATCCTCCTCTTCAGGATGTTGGCTGCCAAATCTATCCTAAAATTCAGTTTCAGATACAGCGTTTTCATTGACGCTGAATTGCACTCTCCCCTTTTTGGTTTAGGTTTCATGTTCTTTTCGACAAAACGTGTCGGCTAGCCATTTTTAGCCAGGATATCTTTGAGAAATAGGAGCTCTTCTTTCATGGAGTTGCTGGCCGCCTCAAGCCAAACAATCTTTCCCTCTTTACCAGTGTTATTACTGGTTTAGCAAGGTAAAGGAGTGCATCGTCGGCCGGGGATCGAACTCCGAACCGTAGGCGGCGTGGTTGGCAAGCATTCTACTGCCAATGTGCCACTGACGCCCAAAACTTAATGGAACAATAATCAACCATAACATCATACGAGATTTTGATCTGTACAACTAGAGAGAGAGAAAAAAAAAGTAAGAAAGATAGAAAGACAGGTGTAACAATTTACTGGGACGTTTTTTTTCCATTCAGGAAAATGCACCTGATATTAACCTGATATTATCTTATATTCTTCATTTCATACTGGAAATAGAATTTCGACAAAACAAAAATCAATAAATGCTTACACGGATTCATTTATTTATTTACTTATTTAGTTTTACTTATTTTTCATATATATATCATGGTAGTGTGTCAGTTATTTAGGTCAGGTCTGGTAATTTCAAAATCTGGGTGAGAAGCACAACAGCAATAGTTGTCTGTGAGTGACCTTGAAATGAATGATAAGATTTCCTTTGACTGATAAATCTTTTTTCTACTGGCCCTTTATATCATTTAATGTGTAAAGTATTGTATAGTATAGGTATTTTCGGTAATAAGCCTAATGGTTATACGTCATTTTCATGGGTGGATGATATCTATAGGTGATTCTGAAGATAGATAGATAGACTGGATTTAAACTAAGTTATCTGCTTTGATTGGTGACAGTGTTTAGCACTGGAATTCATGATATATATATATATATATAGTTCGTTTTATTTGAGACTCCACAGCTCGATATAGGTGCGTTGTCTAAAGGAGGAGTGATGATGTTCCTATTGGGACTCGAACCCAAAGAATTATCCACTAGGCTGTGAGGGCCATAGCAGCCACCTCATATGCAACGGTAATCTCTTGCGGCTATATTTGGTGTTGATTGGTTATACTGAACTGAAAGACGCTGTCTTTGTTTATATGTCGGCTTCTAGGATGGATGGTTTTGGGGGGGTTTGAAACAATTTCGGGGGTGGGTTCAAATTTTGACTGGGAAAATCATTTATCATTGAATGCGAATGCAGGCACATCCAGCTGATAAGTCCCAAACAGGAGGAGATACACAACTTGACTTTTACTGCTAGTCACATTCCACCGAAAAAACAAACTTCGTGATCAACATATGAAGACAGATTGAGCATTTCGGTCAAACACGCTCAATTAACGGGAGATGCGAATCTCCAGAAAAAAAACAAAAAATATACTTAAACGAGTTGAAGTTAATCGATTGATGGTGACTAGCAGTGGAATCCGACAGGATAACGCGCATTTTGTCCTATTTGAGACTCGCTGATGGCTGGATGTACCTTTATTCCTCATTGAATGATTGATGGGGTTCTCACGAAGGCTCAAACCCAGTGCCCATAGTTTCAAACGCCAAAGCGTCACGACATCCACGTCTTGTGCAACGGGCCTTATTAATTATTTAATTTGGTCTCAAGTTGATATATGTCGGCTCCTTATGCAGGTGCTTCAATGATGTTTGGTCATGATGAAGACATGGGAGTGCAACTGGGGAATGAAGATACATCCAGCCGCCAACGAGTACCAAAAAAGACGAAATGCGCCTTATCCTAGACTCTATTGCTAGTCACCATCAACCGATTGACTTCAAGCTACAAGACCAGACATCGTCAAAGAATCTGCACCAGGAGCTGATATGTCGACCTGAGACTGAACACTTCGGTTGAATCAACAGACGGGAAATTCAAAATTGAATTAAATTAAACTAGTTGACTTCTTATGGTCATCTTTCCTCAGTGGCATTTAGTGTGTTCTTCTTCTCATGTTCCAGAGTATCCAGTGTTTTGGTGTACTTTATCATTAGAGTGTATTATTGGTGAATTAGATACAAACGGTTGTAAAAGCTTATCTTCAAAATCTACATCAGGTTTCTTATAAAGCTATCACGTGATTAGAAAAGCGATCATTAAGATTTTCAAGTGTTGGTTTGTAGGGATTTGACTGGTTTCAGGATTTCATCATGAGCTGACATTAGTTAGAGAACCATTGGAAAACCTGGGAGTACTGGACAGCTGTTTCGTCCTAGTTTGAGACTCTTCAGCAGCGCGCATTCACCACCACGGTTCGAACCCAGGACCTTCTGGTTACAAGGCGAACTCGTATACCATTAAGTCACTGGGCCCGATCCAATGGTCCTTGGATTCTAACTTATGCCGATTCACGACATAGCGCCACCGCTAGCCAATGTCTTCGGCGAGTATTTGTCCTCACATCCGACCCGCTGCACCCTTCTGGTCACGACTTCCCACTGGAACCCCAGGTAACTACCTACCTGAATAGGGCCAGTCGCCAGTGAGCATCTCATTGGTATTCAAGTCAGCTCATGATGAAATCCTGAAACCAACCAAATCCCTATAAACCAACACTTGAAAACCAATGAGGTGCTCACTGGCGACTGGCCCTATTCAGGTAGGTAGTTACCTGGGGTTCCAGTGGGAAGTCGTGACCAGAAGGGTGCAGCGGGTCGGATGTGAGGACAAATACTCGCCGAAGACATTGGCTAGCGGTGGCGCTATGTCGTGAATTGGCATAAGTTAGAATCCAAGGTCCATTGGATCGGGCCCCAGTGACTTAATGGTATACGAGTTCGCCTTGTAACCAGAAGGTCCTGGGTTCGAACCGTGGTGGTGAATGCGCACTGCTGAAGAGTCTCAAACTAGGACGAAACAGCTGTCCAGTACTCCCAGGTTTTCCAATGGTTCTCTAACTAATGTCAGCTCATGACGAAATCCTGAGGTCATTAAGATTATTAGGCAGAATCTTCACTGTTAGTTGCTGAAAGTAATCAGCAAGCTCTACATTCACTTCACAAATGTGTCTTCAGAATATAGGAAGAGAATACTTCTGGTTTTTGTGAAGAAAAATTATAATTCAGATAGAAGAGTACACCAATGATCCCACTATGGATGTAGCATACAATTTTTAGGCTACCAGCCTAGTACATTTACAAGCTATCTGTATCGTTTCAACTCGTAACTATCTCCGATATAGCACCACCGGTAGCCAATGGCTTTAATGTTTAACAGCTTCAGAGCAGATGCACTTAACTCATTCGTTCAGAACTTCTTGCTAGGAATTTAAGATAAATCTCCACGTTATTACTCCTCTAAATACCAAGTTAAACATACGGATTCAGGGGTACGTCTTCATTTTACTCGGTTTGCTGTAGTGTTTTCTTAAACCTCACACGATATGAAGTTCACCCTCGGGCATACTCACAACTCTGTGTTTCCCATTCAAGTTCTACTTGATGGTCATCCCTGTGTGTGATGGCACTAAATGATCTCCTTAGAGTGTACTCAGTCTACCTCCATTTCCTTCTACCTGTTCCTTTGTCTATGAGCATTTGATTGGTAATTCGCTAAAATTCCTTGCCTCTAATTTTTTCGGGCGATTTTACAGTCTGTGTGGAGCAAAAGCAGCTTTGTGTGGAAGTTTACTTTATTCAGCTAGAAATCCTTTTCAGAACTCTGTAGCAGGAGTACACACTTAATTCATGTCATTAATCGATATTAATCAAAGTGTCACTTCGAATTCACAAACTAACAGACAAGAGATGTAATTCATGAGTAATTAGACTCCAGTTGAGGGAATGAAAGACAAAGCCGTGCTAGTCTGCTAACCTGAATTTCGTGGTACAGTTTACTGGTAGTATCACCTACGCTCACTGGTGGAAAGACTCAATCTAGGAAGAGATACCTGCTCAGTATACTCTATTTCTCGATGTCTCTTTAAGTGATCTGGATTTGTGATCAGATCTCCACCAAAAATTGATCAGATCCCTTTAAAACCATAATTTGCGTGTATTTTAGGTTTTTAGGGCTCAAAGGTTGAATAATCTGGCGTTAGACTTAAGGCCCTAAAGGCCATTAATTCAGGTCCACTTGCAGTAGCCAGTTCTTTCTCCACTCTCCGTCACCACTAGTCTGTATGTTAGACTTGCCTGAACTATGTGGCTACAGATAAGGAGTATAATTAGTTGAGAACAATATGGTCTGCAGCTGAGGTAAGAGGACACTGCCTAGTGCAAGATAATTTGAGTCAGGTTGGTAAAAACATGATATGAACTTCGGATGAGACCCAGGTGGCATTCACCTGCAAACTAAGCATGTCCACAACTCTGGAGAAACTAAGTTTTGCTTCAAACCTTAAACTTAATAGGGATTACTTCTATTCACGCCAGTGTTGGGCAGTTTAAAAGTGAGGAACCTGAACACTATAGTGTTGAATTCCCTGTCTTATGAACTGAATGATACAGGATAACTCTAAGGGAGAGTGTTTCCTTTACGACTACAGACATTCAGTGCTGATAAGTGATGATATGGAGGAAGGCATGTTGAAACAATGATTCCTGTAGACAGACCGTAATATCAAGCTAGGTTCGAATAATAGTATATACTGTCAACTCTAATGCATCAGTGGTTTGTTGTTAGGAAGTCTGTCAAACAAGCGGGAGGTCCGGATTTTATTCCCGGCTGACGCACTGATAAATCTGGGCCGGCGAAAGAGGGGAGGTTTTCTAGGCGTCAGACTTGCCCTACATTCCACTATGAATCCAAAGAGTGGATGGTTCTCATAAAATAAAGTAATAAAATAAGGTAAAGATTAGGGTGATTAGAATACACCGCCAGTCTCTCTATCGTTCTTTCTGTGTAAATAGAGGAAAGTTGGTGGTCTGTCTGAACAAATGTTTATTCCTACTGTGTAAAACTTATCACACCAAATACTTGATTTATTACACCGGAGAAGAAAGAATTACGCGGTTTATGTAACCCATTCTAAATTACAAACATTACCAACTGAAAATCACACTAGGTGGACTTGCATTTGTCTATATGTATATATATATATATATATATATATATATCAAACGCATTGTCTGCTTGTTTCTGTGGATGCATAAAATAATGAAGCTATTTATCATTATTTAGATAAATAAAATTATACATTGAAAATTGAATTGGAAAGGATAGAAGTGTAGCGCGCGAAATTCAAATCATTTAAACAAATTTAATTGATTCAGTTTAAATCCATTGTTTGGTGACTATAATGATTAGAAGATTAAATTCTGTCCTAAGGAATTCAGCTGTAATAAACTGCGTTTGTAGTAGGCATGCTGGTTTAAAAACATAAACCTCAGAAGTCTTTCCTTCGTAACTTCTCTTCGAATCTGTACGGTTTATATGCGTAAAATGTCGAATATTCATACGAAGTCAAAGATCTATGGGGAAAACCAATAAATTAGCAGATGAAACAGCGGAGACAGGGCTTCATAGGAACCTAGGGAAGACAATGATGATGAAGATATCTAGCCAGTTACAAGGAAACCATTACTGACTATCTCTGGGAGAAATTCGAAGTAGGTAGCCTCTTTAGCCTATCTAGACAGGATCATTTCATCTGCATTTGGCACGGATTAAGATGTCGTAGCCAGGAACAGATCAAAAAAGAAAGACAGACTCACATCACTCTGGGATCAATGTGGAAATATGCAGCATACAGTATAAGGAACAAGATCCCGATTTTATGTACTAATGTCAATTCATTTCAGAGGCTTGGGGCCTAATGAACAGTATTCCTCGTAATTTACTGCATACGTTTATCAGTGGCTGCTCCGTTTCGCCTCATATAGAAAATCATACGATTGGCTGGAAATGTTGTGACACAGGGAACTGATAGAATTCAAGCTGATCTACAGTAAGAACTAGACACATTACACTAGTTACTGACTAGTGTTCAATCAAAGGTATCCAATACAGTCAGTTCTACAGGAGGTCAATGGCGAGCTCAAATAGCTCACTGGTGGTAACGTCTCTGACCGCAGCACCGACTGGATGGCGTGGGTTTGAATCTCATAAAAGATAGCAGTTTCTTCAAGGTGGTTGCAGATGATCCTTGCTGACTTACTGGTAAGTGCCAACTAGCACGAGACCTAGGTCAGGTGAGGCTTCCTGCCGACCGCCTCAAACCATCTAATATCAACAATTCCAAGTACAGTGTGATGGCGAGGCACCTGGTGGAATTCTGTCCACTTTACAAACTTGACTGGTAGAATTCAGTATGCACCAAAGTAAAAGGACTAGACAAATTTCACTAGTTACTGACCAGTGTCCAATCAAAAGAAATTTCAGAAATGAACCAACCACCATCATCCTGTCGTCCAGAAATATATGGAGAGAAAAATGTAGATGTATCGGGAACATACTAAAAGGATCGTTGATCGATATCAGGCACCAGGCAAATCACTCCAGTAGAATCTGTAGGGGAAACGAAGAGTTGGGTGTAGGTCCAGGGCTGACATAGTATCGGATGAAGACATTACAGCCTAAAATAATATTCATTTTATTTCAAACGATAATAATAATTAGACAGAATGGAATTTGCAGCATTTTTATACTTACTGCGACAATTTAGCTCCTCTTATAATTATGTACATACATGAAATTTAAGATAGTATTCATAGTAATAATATTAATAATGGTGCGTCGGTGGCACAGTGGTTAGGACTCTCGCCAACCATGCTTATGGTCCGAGGTTCAATCCCCTGCTGACGCACACCTGATATCTATGGTCGGCCTGCGAAATTCGGGCTACCGATATCTACGCTGAAAATTCCATACTTGTACCAAAAATACAGTGTGGAATCAAGCTGTAATAAAAAATAAAAATATAAACAGAATGTTGGTGGAAACATAATGACGTGTTAGTAGAGATAGTATCATAGATAATACATGTAATAATAACAGTAATCTTTGCTTATACTTTGCAATCCAGTTACTGATTTGGACAGTTTATAAGTTCTTTTCTGACATCTGACTCTCTCTCTCTCTACCCTCACACAAAACCCTTGCTAAATATGGTTGTATG